TTCAACATTTTAACAAATGCCCTATCATTTATCTCCTGGATGACTTTCAGCAGTCTTCTGGAGATTTATATCTATCTAATTCCTGGAGACTCCAGGGCAATCTTGGATGGTTGGCAACCCTAGATGGGGCAGCAGTGCATGGGGGGGAGGGGGAGGGAAGGGGTAGCATAACAGTGCAGGTCATGGAATGGGGCAGCAGCATGCACTGTTTCCCAATCCCCTGACCCACAGCACTGTCCCATCTCCTGATCCATGCTGCTGATCTCAGGCAGGCAGCAGTGTGTGAGTGGACTGGGCAGCAAGGGTGCAGGCCGGCACATCAAGTGGCAGGGGAGATAAGGGAAAGGCACGCATTGGGGGGCAGTGGCAAGAGAGTAAGGTGCAGGAAATTGGGCTGCCTGCCTTCCCCCGCACTTGGGGACAAATTTCAAGATTACTTCCAATCATTAGGATTTGATATATGGAAAACAATAACAGTTAAAAAAAGTTTCATGTACATAATCCACTTGCTGAGGGTCATCTTAAATTCAAAGCCATCTTGGATTCAAGTAAATATGGTACATATTAGCCAAGCAGCCACCCATCTCAAGAGTTAACAGCAACTATTCAATCACAGTATTTCCTTTTTTCACATGGTCTTGGGATTTCCATTGAGGAATTGCTTTAAAAAACAATTTAAAAAATGATTTCTAAAACATATACTCCAGCAAAGAGCACTGCTATGGAATCTGTTTCCTCCAAAAGCTCATTTTACAAGTTGGACAAAACTGCCTACACTTGGAATTGACTTTGCTAGCTGTTGCTTGATTACCTGAAACCGGATTACCCAAGGCAGCTGGCATTTGCATTTCAGTTATATAAACTAAGCAGGCTGAAGGACTCCCTCTTATATAAGAATCTCAGTTCTAACACCCATGTGGCTTTCATTACAAGAAATTTGGAACATAAATGCACGTTAAGCACAACTGTCTAGAACAAACAGTACTTAGGATTTCCTCTCCCTTTATTGTTACAATACTACTGTTGCAAGGTACTCAAGACACCAAAGCTGAGCAAATAAACAAAGTGTCTTAGGAACAGGACTATAAGGGATTCATGAAATCCAGCACTTGCTATCACAGGAAACATTTTGTGCAATTCCTTTCACAAACTATCTTGAAGTGATTAGATCCTTCCCCTCTTCTACTCCTACTAGAAGGCTCTTCCAGAACCTCATTCCTCTTCTAGATTCAAAGAAAGTTCTCATCTGCAGCCAAAAATTTATTCACTACCACACACTTCTTGTCATGTAAACCTTTATCATTTGACAAAGCTTTTTTTTGTCCTCCTTCATGGTGTTTTGTCTTCTGAAATACATCAGTGGGGTATAATCATCCCTCCTCTCAGCCTTCTCTTTGCTAAGCTAAACAAGCATTCTGATCGTACAAAATAGTCTTTCCATGCCTCACCATCCTAGTAAAGTCCTCTGCACCATTTCCTCTTTGAATTCAACTTTCTTGAACAGAGGTGACCAGAATTGCAGAAAAACTCTCACCAGAGTCTTGTACATAGGCATCAGTACCTCCCCATGTCTATCATACCATGCAACCTAGCATGTAGTAGGGTTGGAATGTTGCTGTAGCTGTGAAGGTCCAGACAATATGCAAGAAGCATGAGTTTTTTTGGTAATATCTTTTATGGGAGCAGCTGTATAGAAAAGAGAGGTTAGACAAGCTTTTGGGCACAAATGCCCATCTTTCCCAGACCTGAAGAATTAAAAATATTTGCTTTATTACTGATTCTTGCCTTTAAAAAAAAACCCAAAACCCAAACAAACTCAAGGAAAAGAAAATTGTTTCTAGCCTGTCATGAAATGTACAATGCAGAATAAAGTTATTGAATATAAAAAAGAAAAATTATGACATTTGCAAAACTGATAAACAGATAGACAGAATGTTCCTCCAGCTAGCAACAGCTAAGTGTTATACAGTGCTTGGAATACAAACAGCTCTTGTACATATCCACCCAATATATTACATAACTGTCTGCATTAAATTACTGTACATACTGTACAAACCCAACAACCGCTACACTGTCTTGGCACCCCACATCCCTATGTATTACATTAATGACTCACTCATTAAATGATGGGCTTAAGATTCCAAACTATGTAATCTTGGCTGGCACCCAATCAGAACAAATAAAATGGACCATCGGACTTAAGGACTGATTCAAAGGGTTTCCCTCCCTTCCCTTCTGTGGTGCTGGACTGATCAGAACACACGTTGTACCCTGCTCTGGGGCAGCAGTAAAAAAAAAAAGTTACAAGTCACAAAGAAAAAAAAAAAAAATCTGCCACCCACCACACTGCAAGCAGTGGAATACCAGCCATTGCCCAGCCTGTGCTGGGTCTCCTGCCAAATTAACTCCACTTGGCAGCCAACCTCAAAACTACACATTTTTGATGTGTGATAAATAGCAGCAAGAGTTGCAAGCCATTACATATATTTATCAGTAATTGCTTCTAAGTGATGTTACAAAAGCAGGGGAGGCCTGAAGGCTTATGTTCCAAGATGTGCTGCTCCCCCTTTGATCTGCTCAGTCATTTCTTGCATACAACTGACTTGTTCTCATTTACCCCTCTTTCGATTTACAAAGTCCAGTTCCCATACAAATTGTTCCTCCCTTGGAGAGGTTCTCGTGTATACCCACTCCTATCAATGCCAAACCTACATTTAAGAGACTCTCTGGATCTTCAAATGATCCTAGGAGATAATGATTTCCTATTCCTCAAACTGTATACTATGTTTGTGCGAAGCTTCAGTAGCTGATTCGATTTGGAGGAAGTTCGCCCCGATTCGGGGACCAAAATTCTGAATCCAAATCGAATCTGGAGACCAATTAAAGCTCTGAATAGATTCGAAGCATCCAACTCGATTTGGAAAAGCTTCAGCTGCTTCAGAGATTTGGCCATAGACTAAACAGGCAGCTGACACGGGGCGGGGGGAGAAAGCGGGGCACGGGAGGCAGGCGCAGCAGCACTGGGAGCGGGGGCTATGCCCTGCTGCCACCCAGAGCCAGCCACACCTGCATCGTGCCCCTCCCCACGCACCGGCTGGGCAAGCAGCAGCAGGGCAGAGCCTCTGCAGCTCCCCTCACTGGGCCAGAGGCAGGCACAGCAGGAGGAGCGGTAGGAAAAGTCACCATGGCTGCCCTGCCCAGCCCCAGCCCCCGCCCGGCACTTTAAAAACAAAAAGCCCCACAATCACCAGCTCTGACAGTGGGGATCAGGGCCTCAGGACACTCGTGGCAGACCCCCCCCGGTGCAGTGTGGGGCAGTGGGGCCCAGAGTGGGGTGCAGGCTGGCAGGGGTCTGTGGAGCCAGGCTGGGCTGCACCGGTAGGGAGAGGAGAGAGCTGGCTCGGTTCCATAGAGCTCCTGCCGGTCAGGACCCTGTACTCCTGCTGCCCTGCTCTGGGCCCCGCCTGCACTGGCCCCAGGACACCGGTGTGGGCCCCATGCTCCCACGCCCACTCACTCCCAGTGTCCCCCTCAGCCCCACGGTATAGGTGGGGGGGCAGCACACAGCCCCGACCCCACGGTCACCGGCAGGGAACAAGCTGGTGCTGAGTGCAGGGAAAAAGCAGCCCCTCCCCAGCCCTCGGGGCAGGGCTCCCTGGCGGACGCCCCCCCCAGCAC